AGTTTAAACTTGCGGAGGAATGTCATCCGACAACTGCCACCTGCACTCGCGCGCCTGAAAAATCTTAAGCATCTAGACATCCACGGTAATCCGTTTGAGTGCAACTGCGCCACCCTCAAAGTCCGCGATCTTATCGTACAGAGGGGCGTGACGGTGTCGAAGAAAGTCGTGTGTGCTGGTCCCGGCAACATGAAGGGCACGTCGCTGATGAAGCCAATCGCAGTGATCATTTGCAGCTTCGAAGAACAGGATCGAGAAATGCAGAACGATCAAGCGGAAGGATCTGGAGAATTAGATTTTCCGGATTTAGGATCCGGAAACGTATTCAATGAAGAGGAAGAAGAGGAAGAAGAAGAGGAAGAGGAAGACATAGAAGATAAAAACGGCACATCGGAAAAGCCGAAAGAATCAGAAGTCGAAACGCCTTTCCCGACCATATTGGTAGATTCCACGACAGAATCTTCTACCTCGAAAATAACCGTGGAGGTTACTACTGGCACAACAATGAATTCTTTGCAACATAGCGCGGAGGACGAAGAAATTTTCTTCGACAACGAAGATAAGAAGGAACAAACATCCACGACTGAGATGTCGCAAAAGAATGATATTAAGGATGTCCTGTTTTATCCAACCGCAGGTTCTGGCGATGGGGACGAAGGTTCCGGCGAAGGATCTGGTGCTACTGGAACGCATTACGATGAGGAGGAGACTGAGAAGACAGATACGAATGAGGGATTCTTTGCCACGGGAGCAGGTTTCTTGAATACGCTTTTTGGATTTGGAACTTCCGTGACTACATCGACGACTAAAGAGCCGAATCTTGAAGAGGAGGAATTTATACACGTATCGACTACTAATCTAGCCACTGAGGAGACAATTGTGTCTGACAAAAGCTATTCAGTTGGAGCCGGTATTGAAAAATCCACCGAGGTTACCACAAAGGTTATACCGCCTAATCTAAATACGAACGACGTAGTGATAGCATCTTCTGATACAGTCGACGATTCTAAATCTGGTAATATGATGGACACAAGTAACAATGAACAAGCAGTATCTTCACCTAAGCAATCCAAGAAAGGTATGGGCTCGTACGTCGTTCTGGCGGTTCTACTCGCCATAGTGGTGGCGTTGATCGGTTTCGCCGCATACAGAGGCGATATATGTAAAAAGAGGAAGTCACGCGATGTAGAAACCGGCACTGAGATGAAGGAGATACAGAAGTCTCTTCTAGAACACGGTGAAAATTCGACTCAACCAAAGAAGGAGAAGAACACACCCTACGTAACGGAGCTCGAGAGCGATCCTCTTGTGAAAGTCAAATCTGCTGGTGACGATGCGAAAATTGATGAGATCCACGATGACGACTATCAAACGCGAGAAACGCCGCGTCTCAATGGCACTGTTGATCATTCAGAACCCGTGAAGCCGCCTAGGAAGCAACTTTCACAGGACGAAAATGCAATTTCACAAGACGATGAGGCGAGAGAGGAGAAACCTCGTGTGGACATAAATTCCTTGAAGAAAAACTTCCTGGAGGATAGGAACCCGCAACCCTCTACTTCGACGACCAATGGACCGACGACGCATTTTCCAGAGTCCAATGAACCACTAGAGACCCAAAGAGTGAAGATCACTCTGCAGGAGATTCCCGACAGTATACCAAAGACGCCTATACTCATTACACGAACAATGACTGGTGAGAATCTAGTCAAGATGCCATGAAGCAGCGTCCTGGGGAGAGAATCTACGAGAGATAACGAACATTATATCGACCGACCGACGTGCTCGTCTGTCGAGCAGAAATCGAGAGACAAATATGTGCGGAAATGAATAAAAAGGAGAAAGTTTTTTTTAAAAGAATGCGACGTACAGATGTGATTTATAATAACGTTGTTGTTCCTAGGGCTGCACACGATTTGACTCCTCGCGATGGATTTTCGTGATAAAGAAAGATTACCGAATCAAAGACCATACACGACAGTGGTTAGGAAACTATTGTTTTCGGCAGGAAGCTGAAAGTGTGCGAAAGGTGACCGAGGGACAGTTGTAAAGCCGCGTTTCGTTGAACAATTGGACGCACGAAATGCTATATGTTATTATATTTGTTAAAACTGTATGCTATGCAGGATGTCCTTCGGAAAGATATTGTGTATTATTTTTTATATATTTATAACCATATCATTCATTCTGTTCGACTATCTATAAGAGAACCTCGCAAAGTCGTAAATTCTAATCTGAAAATTTGCATACATGTGAGCGAAGTAAATAAATGAATTTAGAAATTATCAATTACTGTTTTAACATAAGAAGTTTTGTATTCACTAGAATGATCAAGAAAATAAATTACTATGAAGATATGAATAATGATGAAAAATATTTCAGATTATTAAAGAGTCAAGAAAATTCAAAAATCTTTTTTTACACAAGATTGTAAGATTAATCTAAAAAATAAAAATGGCCAATAAAATGACCCTTTAATACTTTTAATATTAAGGAATAAAGAATAAATCAAGATTTATATTTGTTTGAAGATCCGTTGTCAAAAATCTTGCGATTTTTATCGCTTATAATTCTTATCGACGCAATTGTTTATCTTCTTAATTTAATTGGACGAAAATGAGCGATATATTGTGGACATCCGCATTGGAATGCGTACAGCGCGAATGGAGCAATGTTCGAAGTTAACACTATAGTACACTAGTCAGTCTTCCTAAAGAGTCTCGCGCGAGGGGCTACTCACTTACAAAAGTGATTTCCGATTTTTTGTATAAATTTTATTTCAACGTGATTTCAAAGTGATTTTATTTGTTATCCGAAAGAAATTCGAGACGCGCGACAACGATGCTTCTTTGTTTGATTTCAGATGATTTCTTGATTTCAATGACGAATGCTTGACTGCCTCATTTACTGAATTCCTAGTTGATTTCGTAGGTGAGTAGCCCCTCGGTCTCGCGTGTCCTGCGAGCATCAGAACGAGGACATCGAGTATCCAGCGGTATTCATTATCGCGCGAGATCGCATCGCGAGGATCCTTAGATTAATCGAGGATCGACGAAATGTTCGCCGTACGTCAGGCGTCGATGAGCATTCCAGTTCTGCCATATTTTTCTACGCACGAACCATCGAAGATTAATACACACCGTCGGCCTTACGCCGTCTTTCGATCGAACCACAGATTGTTTGCCAACGCGTACCTCGTAATTTTTAGAGTGACTTGTTAGCGTTTTACGTACGACACGTTTATACGCGATTTGGGCGAAGAGGAATTTGTAATTCAATGAGAAGAGTTTGCCAATTATGAATAATGATCTTTGATATAGCTTTAGTACGAAGCTGCGAACGTTTGAACAATACTGTTAACATTGTAGGACTATTATTCACGTCTGCAGAGAAAATATATACGTAATATCCTGTTATCACGTTACTCCTCTTGTAGCGGACGTGATCCTCTCGCGACCTTAGAGGCATATTTTTCAGAAAGGCAACGACTCGTATTTTCATGTGCATTAATGTATTTATTCGTTACATATGACGCAAATTGAGAGACAAATTTCGTGTATGCGTGTGACGGCACTCCATCCTCCATGATTGCGTAATTATCAGTTAAATGGACACGTCATGTAGCTGTGTGCGGCGTGACATAACGCCGCAATGCGTTATCATATTATCCATACTATCGACTATTATTCCTTACGATTCTTTAAGTCAAAATGTGTCGAATGCTGTTAAGGCGTATATGATTTAATTTTAAGATAGCGCGAACCCTGTTAGATCGAAACTTGTCCCAACGATAACGCACATCGTCGGATTTAACTTAGTGATAAAATAAGGAACTCAGTGAAGACTTTATTTATATGTTCAGCCTTTGATCAATAAAAGAGAGTGTTATTTTGTTGATCCATCATGTACTTTAATCGTGCGTCACGGATAATCTTTGGCCTCGCTTTGTTCTCATATTCTCTAACATGTCACCAACATTACTCGTGATTTTATATATCTGTTACATAATTACTTGATGACACTTTGCGTCTAAAGAAAGCGAAATAAATCACGTCGACTACCGACATTCGCATAAAATGAAATAAGTAATGAAGAAATATATTTCATAACTTTTCATGTCAATGTCCTTCACATGTACGTATAAATATTATTTTAATATCTGTTCATAAATTTAGATCGTGTAAACTAAATGAAAATTTACAAGTCTTAAATATTTTTATATCCTTTTTTAATAAATAACCAAATCCACACAAAGTATAGTCGATAAAAGAGCAAGTGAAACGCCTACTATGCAGTGTAATGATTACTGGGATATTACTGAATATGTACCGGATATTTAATGATCCAATTATTTATAATTTATACATATTGGCGTTTACCGCCTCTTATTTTCGTAAATGATACATTAATATGATGAATGATTAGTTCATAACTATAATTTTGAAGTATCTTAATTCTTTTTAGATTGACAAGAAATTGCCGTAATTCAAGATCGACGTGTCTTCGCTAAATTCAAACCGGTAATCTGACGTTATTACAGCTAGAATCTCTACAGAGGAGACAGTGTTCCAAGAAGACGCTTGTACTTTTGCTCTTCTTCAGAGTAAACCTTTTACTATTGGCTAGCCGACTCATTTGTCATTTCCTTGATTACTAATCTTCCTTAGGCAATATGTGTATTTAACGCAAGAGAAAAAACCGGTTTGACGAGATAAAACCGCCGTAATATTATCGCTCAAACTGACATGTGTTATCATGGATCCGTACCCACCCTGTTGATTTAGCGTTGATTTGGATCGTAGAAAGGTGACTTTTGAAGAATAAGTTTTCAAATTACAAAGTCACCGTATTGCGCAAAGTATACGATGTAATATTAATTGCGCTTCGAGCCGATATATAAACACGGTGAGGAAATATAAAAAATCTACATTTCTCTTTTTTTCTTATATTTTTATTAAATTTTTGTTAAAATACCAAGAAAGTTTTATTATATGTTTTAAAACAATTCACAAATGGAAATAATTTAAGACTCGCGTTCCACAAACGATTCTCTGTAACCACTCTTGGGCTCTCGTTTGAGTTCCTTGATGACAATGGAACGGTTCGAACTCATTACCTGGACGTCGGAATCTTCATCGTCGGTCACATGCTCGTTTCTAAACACATGTCTTCTCTTTCTCTTCTTCGAGGTAGGCGTTTGCGGCCTTGGCCTGTCCTTGCTACTGCTGGACTCGAGAGTCTCGTCCACAATGCTATGCCTCCTGGCTCTGCGCGCCGAGGAAGTTCTAGGATTCGTATTATGCAGTTGACCCGTGTCACATATGTTACCACTGGAATTATTTCTCTCTCTTCTGATTCGTTCCTGCCGGCGTTCTTCCCGTCTTAGTAGATCATCTTCGCTCTGAGTCCGTTTTCGAGGTCTCCTCGTTCTTCTTTTCTTTGTCCGTAGATTATCCATAGAATTTATAGAACGCAAAGTGCCATTGTCGATGGAAATCTCGTTTAAAGCATTCATGGAATGAACTAGTCTCTGCATCTGTACTGCTTCCTCATAGCTAGGTGGACTGACTAGTTCTAAAGGATTAATTCTGATTTCTTCTGGAGTCTCCAATGCCTCTATTTCATCCTCTAAACGCTGATTCCTGAAAATACGATGAAATAGAGCTTTTGTTTGATTTCATCACGCTATTGTAACTAAGAACGATGTATTATCTGTAGAGTAATTTAAATATTAAAAGATTAATTATAAAAATTCTTGCAGTACACACTTATTCTATAATACATTTACTTAATTTGAAGATTGATAATTAGAAAATTTTTGCAATTTATATTTATTAAAAATTTTGCTGAATTAAAAACATAATAATACGTCGGTAACGCACTCTCTGAAATCACTTTTAAAGAGATGAATAATGTACCAACTTGCGAAATTGTAATGTAAACCTACAGTTCTAGGCAGATATCTGTCTTATCTGTTGCAGATAGGTGACTACTTTTCCTAGCATACTTTTTCTTAATTATTCATCTTACGTTGAAAAATATTATAAACATAACGTGGATATTATTATAAATTACTCAAACATTCATTTTGCTTATTGTACATCATGAAGTGAAGGTCATTGTGTATTCATTGACAGCATACCGCGCGTATTGATTTTACTTAAGCGAGGTACAGTGAAATATCTTCAGATGTATTTTGCATATATACACAGAAAACTTAACAATTAGTAATCCAAAAGCATCTTTACCTCCTTTGCGAACGTCGTAATCGTTCTCTCTCTTCTGCTAATTCTATTTGCCGCCTCTGCTCAAGGACTCTTCTCTTTATCTTTAGGGTGTGCTTAATCGATATCACGCTGCCACACAGAACGACTAGAATGAGCAAGCTGATCATTACCATTCCCCAAGTTCTATCTTTAGGATAATACAAGTTAATATTCCATTCATTGAAACATGCGGCTTCCCACGAATAGCCGGAAACGTTCGCCGGACTTTGACAGATCAAAGTCGAACCTACAGTTTTGGGCGGAGGTTCCGTTAAGTACTCGAAGGTGTCATAGAGCTGCATACAGTCGCATCTCCATGGATTATCCTCTAAACGGATTGTGGTCAAATGTAGATTGTTTTGAAATATGTCCGGATGCATCGCCTCCGTCAAGCGATTTCCTACGAAGTAATTGATTAATTACGTAAAACGTAAGCGCAAAAGATTCAAAAGATCCACACAAAATAAAAATGCAAAAAGAAATCAATTTCAAAAATACAATTATACTCGAATATAATAATTCTCGGATTTATTCAGAAAACATACATTATCGGTAAGTTTCAACGATTAATTAGATTTTTAATTAAAAAACTCTAATGTATGTAATTAGAAAATTGAATTCTTTTTATTTAACCTTTACAAGACGGAAAAGCCACTAAAACATATTTTGAGGCAAGGAGCGCGATAAAATAATAAATTATAACATATTATTCTCTTAAGAAAAAGTGATTTTAAAATTAAATTCTTATCTTTAAAAAGTTAATATCTTACTTTAACAATTAAATTCTATCAAATACCTTCTTGAAATTGTTTTCTCGTAAATAACTCAAAGGTTGGTATGTACCTGACAAGTCGATCTTTTGCAATAATGGTAATTCAGCAAAGCTGTCATTGTGTAACTCGACGAGTCTGTTTCTCTGCACGTCTAGTATTCTTAACGTCTTCGAATTTAAGCCGTGCGGTAACGACTGCAGATGATTGTCTTTCAAATTCAGAATTTTGATTCTGGACAGGTCTTCTAAAGAATTCTCCCTAAAGTGATTGATTAGATTGAAGGATAGGTCCAATGTCGTAACAAAAGACGACAGATATGGGAATCGGTACAGAGAGTTGTAGGAAAGATTCAGAAATCTGAGATCGACGTTATCCCGGAACGTTAGCTTGTGAATTTCTCCAAGACTGTTCGCAGATAGATCCAGTACTTGAAGCTCCATCAAACCTTCAAATGTGCTGGCATTCAATAGCGCCAAGTTGTTCGAGTTCAGATACAAGTGTGTCAGCTGCCTGTTTTTGGCGAAAATACGATCTGGCAGTAAACGAATTATATTGTGAGAGAGTCGAGCCTGCGTCAACGACGGTAAACCATGAAGACCCGGTCGGTCAAGGTTACATCTCGATACGTCCAATTTTTTTAGCTTTAGGTGCTCTAAAGTCGAATATCTACAAACGAGTAATATATTCTATTATTTGTGAAATTCACATTAAAGGTTTTTATTTAGTAAGATTTATTAAATCTACACTGAAAAAAAAGATTGGCTGCTGCAGCAAATTAGATGGTAAAATATGGCATAGCATTTTTAATTGGTTGTATCAGTCAATTTTTGGTTCCGTTAGCCTATCCGCAATGTGAGTATAGGATTTCGATAGACTAACACAACCAAAAATTGACTGATACAACCAATTAAAAATGCTATGCCATATTTTACCATCTAATTTGCTGCAGCAGCCAATCTTTTTTTCAGTGTATTAGACGATATCTTTTCGATGATTAATTTAGATACAAAATTAAAATTATAATCAAGATTTTATTACCTAGTGCTGTACGCTAATGTAGGATTATTGACCAGTCGTAGATCCTCTAATTCAGGAAATCCGATAAAAGTGTCTGGATTCAGATAATTTAGAGCGCAATCAGACATGTCCAACCATCGCAATGTCTCGCTGACAGGTGCTTGAATACTTTTCAGCGGATTTCCTGCGAGACTTAGAGTGTTCAGTGCCGATAGTCCATTCAAGGATTCATTGCCGAATACTTTTATGACTAAAACAAATAAAATTTTGATTAGTTTAATACATACGTGCATGTTATTGAATCTTAAGAATTTTTTCTATATACACAGTTGGAAAAAATGTGTTGAATTTAACATAAGTCGCATGTCCCAAACGGTCCACTCAAATTTTTGAATTAATTTTACACAAGATGAATATGTTAGAATGTAACACAAATATATGTAAGAGAATAAATACAAAGAAAGATAACATCGACACAGTTTGTAAACAAACTGTGGAAACATTTTTTTTTTCAGAAAATTAAATAATAAATCTCATAGGACCGACGTGCAAAACTCACTAATAATATATGTATATTAAAGGCCTATTGCCGGTCGAAGCTAGAGATCTTTAATTGCTTCTTTTTAAATAATTCCAATTGTGAATTATATATATACTATATATATACTTACATATATATCATATTTGTAGGCATATTCACTACGCGTCGAAATTTTTCCGGACTTTACAAACGCAGCTAAACTACTGAAATAATATCACAAATTAAATTTTGATGCTCAATAAACAACTATTGTAGAGATCTTAACCTAATAGAATCTGTAAATAAATTTTTAATTATTGCGAAAAATATTATCTCGACCGGGAGTCGAACCCAGATCTCTTACACACATTCCGTGTAAGCGTCCTTACTAGTTAGACTACCAAGGCATTACCAGACGTAGTCTAACTAGTAAGGACGCTTACACGGAATGTAAGAGATCTGGGTTCGACTCCCGGTCGAGATAATATTTTTCGCAATAATTAAAAATTTATTTACAGATTCTATTAGGTTAAGATCTCTACAATAGTTGTTTATTGAGCATCAAAATTTAATTTGTGATATTATTTCAGTAGTTTAGCTGCGTTTGTAAAATCCGGAAAAATTTTGGCGCGTAGTGAATATGACTACAAATATAATATATATGCAAGTACATATACAGTATACATATAATTCACAATTTGAATTATTTAAAAAGAAGCAATTAAAGATCTAGCTTCGGCAATAGACCTTTAATATATATTATTAGTGAGATTAACATTTATGATATGTTAAATTAACATATATTTCATTCATTTGTCTTAGAATTTACGTTTTAAAACACATTATTTTTATGTTACTTGTTCACTTACTCATAAATTGTGTCATTTTGACACTAAGAAACATTGAATATCAATTTCACAAAAAATCTTTAAATAACATAATCACATAATATTAAATTGACACTTGAATATATTAAAAAATTCCACACGAACGTGAGTGGACCAACACAAATGTGTTTCCAACACAAATACATAGATTTTTTTACTGTGTATTTCTACGCAAAAAAGATAAACCTCCGTATCATTAAATTAAGTCAAATATTATATACATTACTAAATTAAAATATGTTCGTAAATACGTTTCTTTTTTAAATTGGTTTTTTAACTGTTAATACTAACGATTTTATAAACAAATATGGTATCTTAGTAGACATTTTTTTAAAAATCACCTTTAAAGAATTCTTTATAAATCATTATAATAAATATTTTTAATAACACTTATGACTATCTTGATACACACGGCAATGACCGGCATCCACTGCCTGAAGCACTTCGCTGGTTAGCCCTTTCAAGTCAGGTAATAGATTCCTTGAGATGTATAGAACTGCTAGGGATGGTAGCTGGCTAATGGAAGCAATATCTGCCGTATTTGCGATGAGGTTGTCTGATAGATCTAGTCTACGAAGCTTTCTTAATTCTTCAATATTCGGCAAGGACTTGAGCTGATTCTTGGCCAGATTTAGGTACTGTAGATCAATCAGCCGATTGACTTCGTCGGTGATCTTACTTATACGATTATTCGACAAATCCAGATGCTCGACCTATTATAGAAAAAAAAACTAATTTTAATTAATAATTAACGGTTTATTACATAATATCAGAAGAATATATTTATTTGAATTGGTTGTAGTAGTTTAATTATCTTGATCATATCTTCTTCATGATTCTCATCAAGTATATTTTTTTTATTGGTATATTACTGTACTATTTTATTTTATTTTATGTACACAATAAGATGCAATGAATTGTTATCTTATAATGAAATTTACAATAAAAAAAACCGCTAACAAAGGAATTATTACTCATCGCAAATATATTCACCACATCATTAATATTTTCAGGAAATATCAGTATTCCTTGCTTCGAACACTCGATGGTTCTAGGTAATTGGTTAAGGCGGCACAGACATCTGTCAGGACATATGCTTTGACACCTCGTAATTGACAGAATTGTTAGCCACGTGATCAGCAATGCAAAAAACACGCCGCGATGTCTCATTGATCGTTCCTCCATGTTTCTTTTTCATCACTGAGGCGAGTCAGATCGAATAATTGCGCGTGGCCCACATTCTTGCAATTCAATTCGCCTCCGAAATGACATTTGTGGCCTCCCGATCGCACATTGCCAACGTCGAAATCTTTGTTACGTACGGCGGAAGTTATACGAGAGAATAAGATCGCTCACCAAAAATTCTCTCGCTCCGAATCGATGACCGAGCGTACTGGTTCTCCGAACCGTGCTAAGAGAACTGAGAGTTAGTAGTTATCTTTGATAAGTAACGCAGGGTACGTCGCACGATATCTCCGTAAGATAACCAGACCGCCGTGTCGAGGTGTTGAACGTGTTATTCCGCGCAAAAAGAATAAAAAAGAATCGGATGAAGATAGAGTGGTGAATGCACCTGTAATTGTGTGATGATTTATGTGTGTCCGCAGCAGGATGAATGGCATCCGAGATATCAATATATTCTATATCGACAACGATTTGAGTCAGTCTCGTCGAGAACTATTTCATTCACTACTCGAATCTATGTTTTATATGTATTTATTGTTTCTTTATTGTCCAATCAGTAATTTCAACGACAGTTTAATATTAATCATGTTATGTCTATAATGTACATTCATTAATTAATTAAAAGATGCTGAGTTTGATCAAATTTCTGCGCGTGTCCGCAACTTGTTCGAGCTTTAACATCATCAATTTTTCGCTATAGTATTAGCATCGCTAAATTATTGAGACGTGGATATTTTAACGAACTCTGACGTAGGTCGCTCTGTCGAGATCCGGAGAAACAGGTTTTCCGCGGAGGAGACATGAATGGAAATCTGAATGGGCAGTGCCGTGGAAAATGTAAGACATTAGATAAATATCTCAAGTATCCCGAAAGCCGATATTGAAGCGGGCATCTCAGTGGTCTAAGCCTCTCTCGGCTGACCCATGCGGATATTTTCCTCCCTTCGCGACGCTGTCGCCGCATTACGATCTCTCTCCATCGTTTTTCTCGATCCGACAAGATCATGCGGTTTCTTCTTTCCGCGGTTTCCAATATAAAAATTAGATCAAATGGAGTTCGTTATATTTATCATATTTATATTTATATTTTTTATTATCTCTCCGTGTATACGCACGATTATTAAGTAAAGCACAAATTGCTCGTAATAGCTTTTTTCACGGACTGCAAGCTTTTATATTTAAAGAAAAATATATCTATAAATACTAATTACTGTCTCTGCTTTAAACATTCATCGTTACTACATACTAATCAGCGTGTTTCTAATTTTATATTTCTAAAAAATTTTGCGTAATCCTGTTATCAATTTTGTTATATCTGAAGAGGACTTAATATAAAGCCGAAACATATAATTTTAAAATACATATGTGAATTTATTATTCAGATAGCATTACTGACTCTTATTTGCCCTATTTATATATATTTTTATACTATAAATACTAAATTATTTTAACTCAAAGGAAAAGGAGAATAATCTTAAGAACTTACTTTTCCAAGAATCCAAATTTTCAATTGCACTAAATTCATGGCTCAGATGTTCGAAAAAAGAAGTTCACAAAAAAAAAATAGTATTTCTAATAATCTATAAATGTGCTGACATTTTCGAATGAAATCTTTTTTGCAGTCAATAAGGAACATAATTAATGATAAAAACATCTCAATATAAAAATATAAGACTATATCGTGAAGATTGTCGATGTATACGTAATGCGATTGAATAAAAATACGTCTAAAGGAGTTAATATCAATTATACGAGTTAATTTGGGATAAGGACCATCTAGATGCTTCAGCCGCATATTTACGCAGAGGAAGCAAGTGACTCGTGATTACTCGCACGGATTGCGGTGAAAAAGACTCGGTCTAAGGCTCCACCCCTCAAAGAGAGGGATTTAAAAAGACCTTATCCGCGCAGGACAGACTGGTTCTCTTTTTCACACGTCCAGTCGGGCCAATAGCGAGGGCAGGTCACACCCTCGGGAGGGTGCGAGAGGTTTAGCTAGCGCCGGCGCTTAGCCCAGAGCTTATCCGGTGGGGAAGAGGACGAGCTCTACCTGTTGATACTAAACCAACCCCTTCGCGATTTCGCAAATCCGAAGTTTCACCGTTGCACTCATGGTCACGCCCTTTGGTTCAACAGATATCCGCAATTTTTCATGAGTAACCCTCCTTTATGTGCGATTTTATGATATCATAAAGAGAAGTATCGTATTTTAGTAAGAAAACGATATAATTTGCCTTATTTACATCATTAAGCTTTTTACAGATCGGAATTTTTGGGGAGATCAAGTCTTTCTGACACGTGGAGTGTCATTTGAGTCAATTTGTTACACTTACTCGTCAGGAGAGTAATATAGTTTTCACGACATATAATAACTGCTTAATTATTCGATGGTTAAATAGAATAATAGATAATAGTCATAGCCTAACGATAATTGAATTATCTAATAGCCATATAAATACGGTAATTGAAACTCGATTCTATATATCGATTTTCCGTAATTACATATTTTGTAACAGAATGCCGGGCTCTTCTTTGACTGTACCTTGCTCTTTAATCTATACAATTGGATTCGCGATAGTGGTTGTGAATATTCACGCAATATCGAATTCGTGTTAGGTGCAGTAACCGCCGTGAAATGAAGATTCCAGCCACGAGAATGGCTTCAGGATCGATCATCTCGGCGCACCGATTCCTTGCGCTCACCCCTGTGCGCCGAACACCAGCAAACCAGGTAGCAGATAGCTATAATTAAAAGTCGATCAGGCCAGGCCTTTACAGATAAAGAGCCTTCGTCTGTTCAAATGTACAGTACGCTCCAATAACGATCATCTGATTGGTCACAAGCTTGTAATCAGTAAAATAAATAAGATAATTTTAAGTAACAACTAAATAGTACAGTTTTATATCAATACTAAATAGCATAGTTATAAGTATACATCAAGATAGTTATACATACATTGAAAATGTCAATACATTTTTTACAGAAATACAAATTAATACTGAAAATTACTTCAGTTGATTTTGAGTATTAAAAGTACTGAACGACAGTGTTTTTAATATTCAAAATAAATAATTAATCATTACCTTCCAGTATTAAATTCTGTAAGCAATATTAAAGGACCAAATAAAGAAATAGAGATTGTAAAAATCAACTTAACAGAACCAAAGACGAAACGTAACGACGTTCTTTTGCTGCATTGCGAAATTACTTCATGAGCTTCAATTTTGATCAGAAAAAGGTTCGTTTTTCGTAAAGTATTTTTTTATGCGAGAACTAGAAAAGAATAATAGCTGTTTTCCTTATAATCTTCACATCCGATAAAATGATTAAAGTCGTTTACTTACTTTAGCTTCCTTTTGCCCCTGTCGTTCCGAGCTAGTAATACAACTCATCCCAGTCGACGTTCCTCCATCGCGAGACGTCTCACCGGCAGATTCGGTTTCTCCGTCACTATTGAGGGCACCTGTACCGGAGAGGATATAATACCGCGTGCTATCTGGAGTATATTTTTAACGCCTTCATTTCCGGCCGCGCTGGGACACCGGAAATAGCGGGACGATACCTCGCGGTGTTTCAGGTATTGATCAGTTCGAGGAGCCGGTGCTACACCACCCAACCATCCACCCCCGTCAGATGAGGAGGGAGGTTGCACGGCTCTGCAGACTCGAAGCTTCGACCCCCACACGTTCCCCCGCGTCTCCACCACCCCC